ATACTTAGTAAACCCAATCAATAACCATAACTACTACTTAACTAATAAAACTGTACTTTGTTTTAATTCCTTTTTCAATGTAGATAACTATACCCTAGATAATACTTAGTAAACCCAAGCAATAACCATAACTACTACTTAACTAATAAAACTGTACTATGTTTTAATTCTTTTTTCAATGTAGATAACTATACCCTAGATAATACTTAGTAAACCCAAGCAATAACCATAACTACTAGTTAACTAATAAAACTGTACTTTGTTTTAATTCTTTTTTCAATGTAGATAACTATACCCTAGATAATACCTAGTAAACCCAAGCAACAAAATCTTAACCCTATACCCTATTTCCCAACTTTATCTTAATTCATGTTTCAATATAGATAAGTATACTCTAGAACATACTTTGTTAACCCAAGCAACAAAATCTTAACCCTATACCCTAAACCGTAACTAAATAATACATCACATTTAAAGGTGACTCTATATCCCAGTTGCTCGTGGATAGTATGCGTTGGACAAAACTTATTTTTATCATGTTTCCTATATTGAAAAACCAAAACTTATTTTCAGCATGTTTCAATGATGAGTGCCCAAGCAGTCATGTCCACATGGTCATCTAGTAGCTCACATAGTCCTTTCATATCAATACACAAATTTATATATGAACGATAATCGTCAATTAAAAGAACACCGTCCATTTTTCTTTAACCAATATTCACTTGTGTATGGACACTGCCATCATTATAAAATGGATCCATATCCTATTCGTAAAATATGTTTATCCAGCTATAAAACACATTAACAATAAACAAAGACAGCGTTGCCCATTGATGTTTGTCTAAGCGATATTTGACTTCTTTAAAATATAGAAAACTAGACCATATCCATATCTACTAAACCCAAACCGATATTTAACTTCTTTAAAATATAGAAAACTAAACCCTACCAATTGATGTAGATGTTCCAATTGAGATGGACGACTTTGCTTTGTACATGTGTTCAACCAAACTTTAGATTTTAAACCGTAAACAAAAATTCAAAACTATAAAATATATTATAACCATAACTTTTTAAAAATATATATAACACTAAACCCTACTCACTACCTATTAAACACAAACCGATATCTAACTTCATCAACAATATAAACCTAAAACAAGATGAAAATCCAGATTAAAGGTTAAACACTAAACCCAAACCGATATTTAACTTCTTTTAAATTTAAAACACTAACCCTACTCCCTACCTACTAAACCCCAAACGATATTTAACTTTCTTAAAAATATATAACACTAATTAATTACCAACCCGTAACCCTAGTTAAACAACCACAATTCCTAAACCACATTTCTATGTTGAGATAATGGTAGATGGATGTGTCCATGTACAAGTGAACCAATGGTCAAAGACATATGGACACCTAAAACATCTATTTCTTTTATGATTGTGAAATTCTAGTGTATTAAAATGACTTATGCTTTCTTGTGCCCGTGATCAAGGTGTAAACATAAACACACGAGATACGAAGAAACTACAAGATCGTTCAAGTTATAAAGGTATCATTGCCATCATTGACATCAATGGTACTCTTCGTCACACTTGTGGCTTCCAAGTGTAGGGAACTTCAAGGATCTGACCGGTCCACAAGTGGATTACTTTTAACGAGTGTGATAATTTTTAAATCCATATTTCTCCGTTGTTGTTTGTTTTTGTACTGAACAAAGAAGCCAATTTATTAATTTTTGGTTTTATATAACGATCAGTAAAAAATCTAACATCTGTGAAAGAATCGGTTGTTCATGTCCAAGTGAATGAATCTAACATCTGTGAATCAATCTAACAGAAACCCTCCTCCGTTTCCTGTATCGGTTGTTCCGCAACCGCCGCTGTTCCAAACCACCAGTCTCTAAATCCTTCCGAATTCCGACGGCTGCTGCCCCCAACTCACCGAATTCGATGTGTCAAACCGTAAAGGATTGTTCTGCCCATAGAACAGAACATGCTTGGAGGCGGAAGATTTGATCCAATTTTTAGAGCTACCCATTTGCTCAAATTTGAAACCTTTGTCCTTAAAAATATGTAATAAAGTTGGAGACTTTCATGGGATTTGGAATCAGATCCGGCGGAGAAAGGTCTATTCGAGAAATATATTTGTAAGAAAATCTAGAGAGAGGAAGAAGAAGAGAAGCAATAGATTGTTGAGAGATAGGGAAGATGATGATAAACGCTATGAGATTCAATTTTGATTTTGATTTTGATTATTGAGATTACACTAAAAAGATTGATTTTGATTCTGGAAAGAGAGAGATCAAGAAGAGAGGCCAAAAGTGTATTTGTAATCAAAAATAAGAAAACTTCCGACGGAGATTCTGTGATCGGAAGTGTTGGTGCAGAGAGAAGAGAAAGCCATGGCGTAGAGTGGATATGGGAGTCGTATGAATCGTAACTTGCCAGATGGTTACAATTTTGATTGCAGATTTGAAATTAAAGATATCATGGGAAAGTATAGAAAGAAAGAGAAAGAGAGAGAGCAGAGAGAGGAAAAGGAGAGGGACAAATAGATTGTAACGAAAAAGATATGTAGTTAGAGGGTAAATGGGTCAAATAACTTATCTAAAGTGCCTTCTCCTTTGAAAGTGCCTAAAGGCACAAATAAGTTGAGGAAAGTGCCTAAATGTGCAATAATTCCTTTTTAAAACCATTTATTCTTTAAAAAGCTAAAATAGTATCAGTAACTCAAATCAACACTGAAAGACATATAGAAATGAATTTAATAAATCAAATAAGAAACATAAGTAACAGAGCAAATTAAGAAAAAAAGAAAAGGGGACCTGTCAGACCGCCGTGCGACCACCCCGGCAAGGTAGAACTGAGCCGAGTAACGATCCTCTACAGCACCAGATGCGTCCGTAGACGATCATGGCCGTCAATCACGCTCTAGCCGCACGGTCATGGTTCATCAACCAGGGTTAAGGGCCTGTCTCTTGAGAAATCAAGGAAACAGAGGTACGTGCCTATAGAACAGATCCTGTTCAAGTAAGGTCGTGACCATTGTGGTTCACTCAAAGTTATATATACAGCAACATTGTTCTTCAAAATAGCGATGTGGGACGAACTTAAAGATCACATTAGAAAAACATGCATGGGTGATATATGGACGAAGGCCCACTTAATTATATATATAAAGCCCATCACTAAATTAGCGTTCAAATTTGGTCATGAAGTCATATGATTTACGAAGTATAGCAATCGAGTGTGATAAAATTCGTTTTTCAATCTTGTTTCTGAGTATATAACACTATGTGCGGGTAACAAAGCTATCTTCACAACCTTATACGCACAACCAGAAGATGTGAAAACATAACCTGTTAGAACAAGCAAAGCAGTCATTCATGTCCCAATCATTGTATTTTTTTTAGATCCGAAACTTTTCTTCCTTTCTTAGATTACCAATGATGAAACCTAGAACAACTATAGATTCGACGTCTCGCAGTGACTACATGGCCACTCGTTGTAATAGTTGTGCTTCTAGGGGAAGCTCACAGATCAAAATGGCAAACTAAAGGTTGCGTTAACCTTAAATACATAATCTATATAATATAACCTTAAATGCCCAAACTAAAGGTTGCGTTATTTTGGTAATCGAAAACTACAAATCTGTTGTAACCGGAAACGTTGGATAAACTTGTTGTTAGGCACCTTTCTTTTGCGGGTGCAAAAATGTTGGCCACATGTGTCTCAATGCTCATAGCTCCACACACAACTGAAGAATGCTCTAACCTAGCTAGTAGCACAAAGAGTTCACACTGCGGAAAGTTGATGTGGTATATTTACAAACCAAATATTCTTATTCACAGAAAACATCTTATTACCATTAAACACTATAGTTTTGATGGGGATTTAATAATGCCCGTTGAATCTCATACTATTCGTGGGTGATTTCTTATGTCTTCGTTGAATGACTTTTATATGTGGTATATTTACAAACCAAACACTTATTCAAAGAAAACATTTTCTTATTACCAGAATAATTATAAACACTTAGTTTATTGCTCGTTGAATCCAACAATGAACTTTTATCCGACCAATAGTAATACTAGAGAAATAGAGTCTACTTATAGTTCATTTTTAAAACTGAGGAATTGATGGAGGTTTATAATTTTGGTAATAAACCTTTCCAAAAATAGGCGTATGCCGCTAAGAGCAGAGAAGACACGGTATTCTTTAGTAAAAGGCGAAAGAATAGTTCGCTTTGTCTTCACTGCACGGCTCCGTGAGTTTTATAGCCCTGCTCTCGATCTGTATATATAGTCGAGTTTAATCACTGTTCCTGAGTTTTGCAAGCGATGTGGGACTCTCAAATCAGTAAGAAAACAACTATTCTTGGGCCATCACAGCTTCTTTATTTATAAGCCCATCAAGAAAGAAAAGAAGTCCTAATTGTTTTAACCGCCGGTTTCCATCTAAGCAGACACTCATAGCAACAACACTACATCCTCGAAGTTTATACTTTATACCCAGTGCCGGTCCGGTAAAATCCGGGGCCGAATACGAAATTTTTTTTTGAGGCCTTTTCAAAAAGTAGAAACTTCTAAAAAAATTTTTTTTACTAATTATGGGGCATTTTAATTTTTATTTAACAATTTTTCTTAATTTTTAAAGATTGTTTGTTAATTATAGATTTTTTTTTGCTAATTATGAAGCCTTTTTGCTAATTTTGAGGCCTCTTTTACTAATTTTGAGGCCTTTTTTACTAATTTTTGGGCTTCAAAAAAAAAAAAAAATCTTCACAAAATGGGCCTCGAAAATTTGAGGCCCAATACAAATAATTCACCAAAATGGGTGAAGGGCCGGGCCTGTTTATACCTTCCTCATTGCCAAAAGTGATTATTATAGCTTTATAGTAGTTAGTTCCAACTTCCAATGTTCAAGAATTTCTTTATTCCGCTCAAGAAACAGAGCAAAACAAACGGAGAAATTTTGGGGAAAAAAAAGTTAACCTGTCAGACCGCCGTGCAACCACCCCGGCAAGGTAGTACCGGGCCGAGTAACGATCCTCTACAGCATCGGATGCGTCCGAAGACGATCGTAGCCGTCAATCACGGTCATGGTTCATCAACCAGGGTTAAGGGCCTGTCTCTTGAGAAATCAAGGAAACAGAAGTACAAACCTATAGAAGAGATCCTGATCAAGTAAGGTCGTGACCATCGTTGCTCTCTCAGTGTTTATATACAGCAAGTTTTGTTTAGACTTGAACGATGTGAGATAGATGCAAATCATGCAATATCTTGTAATGTGAATAAACTGCAAAGGCCCATATTTAAATACCATCTCTTAACTCATTGCGGGTTTGGTTGCATTATGTGCGATGAATTGATCTCCTAAAAACGTGATAGTCAAAAACTTCTGTTTTTGATGTCACGAGTTTGTTTTATAATTGTTTACATGTTTCACGAATGAAAGTCATATTTGCTTAAAATATTTGAGTATAGAATTTGTGTTATCATAAAACCAAAAAAACGTAACAGATTTTAATACATATTTTAGTCTTTAAATACATCCGATTTGTTACAGCGTTTATATATAACAACATAATAAATATTTATCCGAATCCAATGGTGAAGTGTAAAACCTCTATGTTTTATTTCAAAAGATTGTCATAACGGACGATTCTCAAACTGTAACTCTCGTAATGAATTTATTGTATTCATTATTTATTTGACCCTATAAATTATTTGTTTCTTTAGATACCTAAAACCATCACCAATTAACCAATGGACTCTCCTCTATAAAACAGAAAGGAGACAAGTTCACCATGAAAATAGTGATATCATGACAATTTTGCATCGGAAGAATCTCAAGAGAATCTGAATTGTACAATGTCCAGTTGTGTAGAGGTAGTTGATCTCTTTTAATCTCATCACCTTGATTAAAAAAAAAGTGTCAATTCATGAAGGTTAACTAAGATCAACTACCTCATTGTATGATGTAGCACTATACAACTCAGATTTGAGGCTGATGTCAACTTGAGTTTCTTCCTATGCAATTGTGTGATGATGTCAATGTCACTATTCACAAACTTTTACTACGAAATTAGTTTTATAGGCATTAATGTCCAGTTCTCTCGTACGTCTCATTGCTTCTTCTTATTATTTTGTAATGGTTATAGTCAAATATCTCTTTAGCACCTTTTAGTTCTCATCAATGACTCGCTCGTTCATCTTCATCCTTTTTTTTAAGATATTACACGCATGGTCAATTTGTTTTAACATTGTTGAAAGGATTCGTTTGGTTCGCTGATTAAGTAATATAAAGGAATTTATGTTTTAGATTGTTGGTGTTGGCCACAAATCAACTAGGTTTAAAAAAAAGAACCGAGTGAATGAAAAAAAAAAGGAACCTGTCAGACCGCCGTGCGACCACCCCGGCAAGGTAGAACCGAGCCGAGTAACGATCCTCTACAGCACCGGATGCGTCCGAAGACGATCGTAGCCGTCAATCACGCTCTAGCCGTACGGTCATGGTTCATCAGCCAGGGTTAAGGGCCTGTCTCCTTAGAAATCAAGGAAACAGAGGTACGAGCCTATAGAACAGATCCTGTTCAAGTAAGGTCGTGTCCATTGTTGGACACTCAAAGTTATATATAGAACAAGTTAAGTTTCTATACAAGCGATGTGGGACTTTTTCGGTGCACATGACATGCTTGATTTGGCGATATACGGGCCAAGGCCCACTTAGTTATTTTCAAAGCCCAATTTTAACTTATATGCTTCAAATAAAATCCAGTCAGGGTAAAGTTAGCTCTGAATCCTTTTTATTGCTCCAGCTCCAGTTTTGCAATGTTTTCTTGTGTTTGTGATCGACATGTTCTCTACTTAGTTATAAGTTTTTACATAAGAAAAGATATCTATAAAATCATGCATAAACTAACCCGAGCAAGAACATTGATACTATAAAATCAAGGTTGATATCGAAGTGAGAATTTGTGATAAAAACTCTTCAGTTGTAACTTCTCAATGAAATCAAACTTGGTCAGTAACTTTGTTGTTTCCTTTTGTCACTCAAATCATAAACAAATAATTTCGATATTATCAGCTGCCTTGGAGAATCTTTCAGCTGATACTGTCAAAAGCTTGTTAAGAGACATGTTCTCACCTCTGCTCTTCAACTTTTCTTCATACCGATGTTTGATTCTGCTATCAAGCTTGTACCCAAGAAATGCAGGGAATGCAAGAATTTCTTCGACTTCACGGCCCATGTACTCGATCAAATACTCCAGTTTCTCTTCTAAAGAAGTGTAATTATACTGCAGGACTTGAGGATGCTTTGTGCTCATAGCTAGAATGTCTTCAAACGAAAGACCGTAGCTCAAATACAGTCCAATTACCCTCTGCATATTGTCAGAGCTTGTTCTGGTCACAGCTCCCATCGCAAAGGCCAGTTCCTTTGTTCTGTGTTTATATCCAATCTTTACTAAAAACCCGAGTTTGTGCGAGAGATTATCTTCAGATAGAGCTAGAATCAACGGTGCTTTACTCAAGAATTTGAACATGCTGGGGGAATCAAAGCCACATTCCTTCAGAAACTCTATCCTCGGCCGCAGTTTCCTCTCTTTACTAGTGCTGATAACATTAGGGAACACATGAACAATCTTAAAAACTTGCTCGCTCGTCAAGCCAGCAAAAGACTTGAGAAACTCTACATGGCTGTTCATATGCTCAACACTGTAACTCAATATAGCAGGGAGTCTACGTAACACAGTTCCAGTAGCGAAATCGTCTTCCCCACTAAGATTCCTAATGAAATCAACCCTAGGAATCAACTGACTATCCAAGTCACTGTTGAGAATCACTGGCCGCCTCGCAATTATACCAATTCCACCAAAAGGTTCCAAGAAACTAATCAATCTCTCAATATCTTCAACTGATTTCTGATACAGCAGTTTATTTAGGTACACTTTGTTCAACACATGAGAGATCTTTTCTTTAGGTATTCCATGGAGGAGAAGCAATCTCACCTTCTGATTAAAACTAAGCAAGATAGATGTGTCTACCACAGAGAGTAAGCGCTCCACTAACTCAGGATCAAGCCTTCCTTCGAGTTCATCAACCAAGAAACTAATAATGGGATCAAATTCTTCTGAAGTCAATAAATTAGGGCACTTAGCTATCAAACCCTGAAGCGCAAAGCCATTGATTTTCAGAGACTGAAGAGAAGCAACACGAGCACCGATTTTATCTAAAGATGGTAACTTTATATCTGGGTTCTTCGCTAAAATCATCTCAGTTTCTTCTTCTATAAACCCAATATCTCGGAATAACGAAAACAGAGACTCTGCAAAGCAAAAGAGAAATACTAATTAACGCACACCAAGTGTTTGCGAATATGCTTCAAAGAAGAAAATAAATGCAGAGAAGTATCAGATAGTCAGATTCACATACCAATTTGACTTCCGGCTTCAATCGGAGAACTAAGGCAACTACATCGGAAAATTAGAGCAGGTTCTCGATGGTTTAAGCAGCTGATAAGTAATGGCTGTAGCTGAGACCGAAATGATGTAGAAGATGCAGGGAAGGTTCCATGGGAGCAGAGAGTTGTAACCGGCGGGAGATGAAGCCGGAGACTAGTCGGCGGTGAGAAAACGGAGAAGGAACAAGAGACGAGAGATAAGATCACCATGGCTATATCCAAAACCAAGGTTTCTGATTTAACGGTCGTATTTGATTCCAAGATTTACGAAGACGTTAAATGGTTTATTGGGCCTGAGGAGAGAACATGTTTCGTTTCTAATATGAGAAAATTGCAAAATAACCCTCAAACTTTTAATTTCATACAATCTTCCCTTCATATGCCAGAATGCAATAGTACCTACCATCTTAAACATACGATACAAAAAATTATTTAAACCACCCCTACTATCGGAACGTTACTATCTCTACCACCTTTGCCACTATATTGCAGTTGCCATGATTGTGGCAACGATGTGGTAATGGCAACAATGGAGACGATCATGCGGGTGGCGATGGTAATGGTGGTGGCAACGGCTGTGACAACGGATTTAAGTGTTCTTTTGTCAGTACAAAGGTTTTCTTTTCCTCATGTAACATGCTATGGTCTCAATGCCCCTTCAAGGTAGTGATAAGTTTATTTAGATAAGTTTGTTTGTAATTTATTATAAAATCTTCCTTGCACAAGTGGTAATGTTTCTATGGCCTTGGCAAGGTCAAAGAATTCGATTCTTTGCAATATTGTTCTTATTTGTTTTATGTCCAAAGCAAACAGGTATTTGCATTACTCTAACATATTTAGCAGCATAAATGTACATTTTTTTAAAATTGATTAGCTAAAGATGTTATTTACATAACACAAATTCTTTGCAAAGGAGAACAAAATTTCATACTTCGGGAACAAATTAAAGAAAATCTACATGAAAAAATATATTTCCGACTTCATGAACTAACTCAAACTTGGAAAAAGAAATTTTAAATTCTTAACTCAAACAATTTTGAAATGACTGATCGTTTGTTTTTTATAAGCGTAAATATTATGATAGAAATCATAACTATTAGTATTAACTAGTGATAACTGATAATCAAACTGTTATAAATTTAATTTTTAAAAAGATGAAAGACCTAGTAAATAGACGATCAAACTTTGAATACATCAAATAGATGAGTTAATGCTAGTGAGCAAAATCCCATAGTCAAGTCTTCCAAAAAAAAGTCAAAAAAATCATGTTACAAGTCATAACCAATTGTTGACCAAAAAAAAAAAAGTTATAACCAAAGTTTAGATTTCACACACTTATAAAATGTGACACTAAATATGCGGCTATAAAATAACGTTACGGTATTAAAAGGACTAATAAAACTCAGAATTTAATTTGGTGAAAGAAAAATAAACCCTACAAGATTTGAAGTCTTCCTCCTTCAAAATTTAGAAATGGTCCTTAATGGACGGTGGTCGTCGTTTCACACTCTCCGTCCACCATTTTTCTTGTTTCTCCTCCTCTAAAAGCAATGGCCTTTCAAGCTCCATCGATGGCTACTAGTACTTAGCGTCTACGAATAATAACCCTTTACCAATAGATTTATCTCTCTTCTTCTTCACCACTCGTGTCCCTTTCTTTGTCTTCTTCCTCTCACCGCCTTGAAAAGTTTTGATCTTTATCCGAATTAAAAAACGTTTCTTTTTAGTTTCTT